ACTGCTTTGCAAAAGCATTTCCAAGAGAAATGACCCAATCAATGTCTTGAACAACATCCAAAGTTTCTGCAAGAAACTGCAACAAAAAAAGAAATAAATAATAATGACATGAAAAGTAAGACTATCAGTCTATAACCTCAACAATAAAACAAAACAAATTATTATTAAAATCAAATAATGATAATACAAATTGTTACAAATTATGGGACAGCAGGGTCTTCTATGATGATATATAAAGCAGCCCTATTACAATATTACCCTTGTGGGACAGCAGGGTCTTCTTCTATGATGGCAAATTGTGGGACAACAGTACATGACTAAATGCATGTAGATTGATAAGGTTGTTTCTTTTTTACTTAATAAAATCAAAATGACTTGTCGTGCTAAGTGAGAGGTTGGTCACTTTATGTATTAAGACCCTTCCTATTACAATATTACCCTTGTTTATTTTTTTATTTTATTCAACTTTTGACAATCTCATGAAAAAGGCACTATCGACCTCGTTTTTTTTCAATGTTCACAGAATTTTAAACAAAATGTTGGCATCTATTTACCTGTTGTTGTTTGTTTTAGAATTTGGAGAGAGAGAGAGAGAGAGAGAGAGAGAGAGAGAGAGATCTTCATGCCTTTATGGTGTATCAAAGGAGGGCGCGAAAAGACAACCCAGTTACCATCCTAAGCAATTAGTGGTCCTAGACCATGTGAAAAACAGAGCTCATATCATAAGCTGATTTCATAAGGGGCAACAACCAGTATGGCAATCCTAGCATTCCAAAATTTGAAAACTCAAAGCTTGTCATTGGCTCACAAGTTTTGTTGTATTTCCGCACCACCTGACCATCTAAACACTCTTGTTTCTTAGAGGATATTGTAGTTCATCAATTAAAACAAAAGGAAAATATTTAATTTTACCTGTGTCACAAATTACGATCTTGTCCTAAAAAGTTACCACAGAATAAAGCAGACCCGCACGTGAAATACCCTCCACCGAGAAATTATTTTGTGGCAGCTGCTGACTAGGCAGTATTTCTTTTACGAGGGATGATTTCTCCTTTATCAACTGTCCACAGATCTCTATAATCTTTGAAGATCTTTCACACCACAAAAAATATTATTAAATAACATCATAATTAACCTAGAAACATCAAAAGAATATGTAGACAATAGAAGTCAAACCTTTGACCACTTCTTGAATGATACCAGATGACAGATCCATGATCCATAAAGTTTCAAAACTACATGAAAACATTATATAGCAGATTAACAGTATATCATGTTAATCAAAATTTGACATGTAAAATGTGGTAATTTTCCAATGACTTGAGAAGATGCTAGGGGTAAAAATGTAATTTAGGATCAACTTCCTCAGAATTTGAAGGAATGTCTTTTGCACTCTAAAGTTTATCAATGATCCAAGTCACTAAACTACTTTTTTGTCTCACTGACATTAGGTTTTTGATATAATGTCTCAACTGTCCTGCTCTCCATATCATCTCTCCTTATACCATGATTCTTTCATCATATGAAAAGTAAAAACCATAATAAGACTATATCCCCATCAATATATTTGTAATTATTCATTTAAAAAAGAATACCTCTAGTCAACAAAATAGAAGGAATCATCCCATTGTGATAAAACAAAGCAGCAGGGCGAATTATTTTGGAAGATTCAAACTCTCCATCTTCAAATCCAAGTGAAGATCCAATCTGAAATATATATATATATATATATATATATATTATATATATATATTATATATATATATATATATTATCATAAGCATTTAGCTACTCAAAATTGAAATGCTATGTGAATTACAAATGGAACTCCTGATAATTACCATTAACAAAGCATAGTATATTTGATAATTACCATCAGGATCAACAATCCCATCCATTTGAAGTGCATCTGAGTTTGCCAAATCTGAATTTGCAGGTGTAATGGCTAAGATTATACAACATGGCTGCATAATGTAGGAGAGTATCATTTCACGGAACACAGTAGAGAAGAGACCTGGACATGATGATAAAAAAAATTAATCAAAACTATGAGTAAATTAACCTAATCACTGCATATAACCTACCCACAATGTTTTTCACCGGAAGTGGACCCCTGCACCATCACATCACAAAAATCATAAGGATTGTAATCTTGATACAGGAACAGAACTTTAGCCAAATTCCTACAAGATTATTGATACAAGACAATGAGCAAACAACAAAACACAGAACTAATCAAAGATACTTATAATCAAGAAGTGAAATCGCACCTGAAGAATGGGAGGAGCCTTGAAGATCACAATATCTAAAACTTCTGGCTTCCGAAAGATGTATGAAACCTAAATCAATAACAGGAAAAAACTCAAAATCTTTCATACAATCACTATGTGAATTGTAAATCCAAAATGGCGAAATTGGCAACCATCATTCATATAGTGTGTAATAAGGTTAGAATTGGGATTATACCTTTTCGGCCATTATGCGATCACCCACATCAAGGGTAGGGCTCATGGATGCAGAGGGGATGGATCTCGGTTCAGCCAATTGCGATCGGAATAAGATACTGACACTCAAAGCAGTGAAGGCAGCCTTAGCATCATCGGAGCAAACACTTAATAGTTTTGAAAACCAATTGTACCTCTCAACGATGATTTTGGTACTTGCAACATTGCAGGTTTTCACGCAATCAGTAGTAGTCTGATTGGACTTCGTCGAGCTAGTACCGCCTTTATCAACCTCCGTACTGTTAATCTCGTTACATGGGAGCCACTTCAACCCTTGGAAAAACGGAATCATGGAAGACGCCTTCAACGGCGAAATCCCAAAACCCCCAGAACCACCACTGGTAGCCGTTGACTTTACCAATGAGATCAATCCAACAACGAGGGGAGAAGGTTTGGAGGAGGTCTCAACGCCAAGAAAATCACATGCGAGAGTGGCATACGCCGAAACCGAACACCTTGAACCCGCCGTTGTTGCCGGACCGTACCCGGCAACGGGATCTCGGTCGGGATTCTGGAATATACGAGGACGAGAAAAAACCTCGTGAAAAATTCGGCATGTATTGGATTTTCCGGAGGCGGTGGCTAGGTTTTGGGCCACGTAGCCGGAGTAAGAAACAGTGAATCTGATCGCCATACACGCAATTTTGATTAACAACAAAAAGATTTGGAAAATTGCTTCTTCGGTGATCAACTGTTGTGACGTGAAAAGAAAACTCACAAAGAAAGAGATCCCATTGAAAATGAAGAAATCAGTGAGATTAGGAGGGTGGGGTGGAATCGAAGGGTAAGATTAGAACAAGAAGGGAAGAATCGGGAGCTGAAAATTGGGGAAAATGATGAAATCGACAAAACCCCAAAGCTGAAAACAACCTGAGTTTTTCCTCCGGGAAGCGATGGAGAGATCTCAAGGGTGTGGAGACGAAAGAGACTTCCGATGAAAAACATTATGGGTAGGTCTGTGTTCAAAATTGATAGATTTTTTTTTTCAAAATTGATAGGGGGTTGTGATTCTTTAGGCTTCAAAATTGATAGATTTTTTTTCGATTCTTTCAAGTTTGATACAGAAAATGAGAAAGAGTTAGGGAAATCAAGAGTGCAATGCTCGTCCTTGTTAGGTTGAAGATGAAAGATAGATAGAAGATAGAAAAAAAAAAGGCGGGTTTTCAAAATTTTGGGGATTTCATTTCCCCCCTTGTATACTAAAAGCGCGTTTCATTAAAATTATAAAGCAACAGGTACAAACGACGCGCGTTTAAGATAAAGCGCCCTCCGTGTTTTTAATTTTTTTTCTTGAGACACTAAATTAAGGGCACGCAATAAAGCGTGACGTAAATCCTTAAATTTTTTGGAGAGATGACACTATTTTAAGGGCACGTCCTTTTGCGTATCGTTAATTATCGCGTGTCGTAAAAAGCGCGTCATTAAAGGTCTTTTTTCTAGTAGTGCGGATTTCTAGCTCATTATGTTTTAGTAGTTCGACCATGAAATTTTTTTGTTTCTGTATTTCTGGAATATGAGTGTGTGACTTGTTATAACTAATCATATTTATATTACAGAAAGTGGGTCTTTCATATTGACAGAGATGGTTCTACTTCGTCGGATATTTAATCTAGTATCTAGAACACGGAAAGGCAGACATGTTGACTGAATCATACATACAGGTAAACTCAATCATACATACACGTAGAGTTAATCATATTCATATGCAAAGACTTTTGTTGATCGACCTTGTAACCTGTTAAAAGATCCCAACCTACCTATTTTAGTAGGTAATTTCCAACTTTAATAGGATCAGATATAAAAAAAAAAAAAAGATGTAAATTACATAAATCGTCCCTCGTATAGGTGCAAAATTACATGTTTTGTCCATATTTTCAAAAATTAACTCCAACTGTCCCTATACTAATTTTTTATCACTCTAACCGTCCCTTACTAATATTAAATGACTATTATGCCCTTATCAACTTCTTTTTTAATTTTTTTTATCATTTTTAAATTAAAAGAATAATAAATAAAAAATTAATTAACCTGCCCCCCCCCCCACCCCAAACCAACCACAACCCAACCCTCCCTTCCCCTCCATTTAATTCCCTTTTCCTTTTCCTTCTACTTTCCTTAGAAACCACGACACTGGAACATGAACGCCGTACCACCATCGTTCTTTTCACCTCCGGTCACAACTACATCACTATGATCCATAACCATTGAAAGTTCAATTAAGTAAGCTCATTTATGCAACTCCACGTATCAGATCTACTCCTCGATTTTTGGATTTAGAGGGGACAAAGAAGCTCATTTCTGCAACTTGGAGCCACCACCACCATACCTGCAACTTGTCGGTTGGTCGGAGAAGAAGAAAGAGATGTGTTTAGGTGGAGCTTTTTTTTCTCACTGATTCTCCTATTCTACAATGATTCTATTTTAGATAAGAAAAATAGAGAAAATGGGAAAGAGAAAATCGCATAAACTCCATTACCCACTACTTTATTCATCATCTTCTCCACCATTCCTCCATTAAGCTACCTTATACCATCATCTTAATTCCAACATGGATTTAAACGGGGTAGAGGAAAATAGATAACTAAAAGTGGAGCGTTGAATCTAAAGTAATTCATTTAGGATAGGATCGTCATCTTACCAATCTCATTTAATATTTAATTTTTGTGTTATTGGAAACATTAATAAAAAGTTTTAAAAATTAACAACTCATATTTCGGATTTTTTTAAAATTATTTTCGATTTTATTTAAATGGGGATCTTTTAATTTTTTTTAAGAAAACATGATTTTTTTTTGAAAAAATATTAAAAAAAATTGCAATTTTTTCAGAAAACAGTTGCATTTAAAAAAAAAACTGTATTTTTTTAAAAAAAAAATACTACATTTTTTTTAAAAAAAAACTGCAATTTAAAAAATAATTCAATTTTTTCAAAAAAATAATAAAAATAAAAGTTGTATTTCCTTTTAAAAAACAACATTTTTTTATTTAAAACTGCAACCTTTTCAAAAAAAAAAGCTACAATTTTTTTAAAAAACTTGTACTTTTTTTTAAATGCATTTATTTTAAAAAATTGCAGTTTTTTAAAAAACCAAATTTTTTCAAAAAGACACTATTTAAAAAATAATAATAATAACTGTATTTTTTTAGGTGCATATATGCATATTTTTGGTACATTTATGCATATTTTTATAAGTGCATATATGCATATTTCATATATTATAATATTTGTAAATCAATCATAAGAAAACTCATTTTATTTAGTAATCTATAAACACAATACAATAAATATTTTATTCGATACAATATAAAATAACAAAAACAAAAAAAAAAATGCTACAAAATTTCAAAGCGTTTTCATGTCTTCATGTCAATATTTTCATATTTTCTTCAGTTTATCATTTTTGATGTCTTCAATATTCAATACAATTTCTTTCAAATCTACAAGAATATTAAAAATAAATTTGTTGATGCAAAAACACTCACAAAAATACATATGTGATATACATGTGAATCACATGTAATTCATATATGAATTACATATGATTTACATGTGAATCACACATAATTCATATGTGAATCACATCTAATTCATATATGAATTATATGTGAATAACATGTGATTTACATGTGAATCATATGTAATTCAATGTGAATTACATGTGATTTAAATATGAATCACATGTAATTCATATGTGATTCACTTGTGACATGTGATTCACATATAATTTATATATAATTCACTTGTAATTTACATGTGAATTATATGTGAATCATATGTGATTTTCATCTAAATCACATGTAATTCTATGTGATTCACTTGTGACATGTAATATTTTTTTTTAATTTTTATAAAAAACCAATTTTATAAAGTACACCATAATGCATTAACAAAAGCAAAGCAAACCAAACAAAACCATTGTTTTTGAGCGAGGGGCGGTCATTTGTTACTTCTTTATCATGTTTTACCATGATGTAAATATACATACATACATACATACATACATACATACATATATATATATACACATGCATATATATATATATATATATATATAAAGTAATTAAATAAAAGGTTACAACACTATTCTTTTTTTTTCTTTACTACAGAACTTGTCATAAAATGTTATAAACATCTCTTTTGTAAGTAAATAACAAAAAAGAAACAAACTTGAACTTAATGGTTTACCTTATATCATGAGGTGTAATAAATGTCCATTGTGATCCTTGTGCCAAAGCAAAATCCTCAACTGTATCCAAGCTTATTTTTCTATTCACAACATCATGCAATATAAAGATCATTAAAAGTTAAAACCAAGCCACTGATTGTATTTTATTAAAAGAAATTTAATGTGGTACAACTAGTTATTCATGTAAAGTAATTTTACCATAAACACATCAAACTCATCCATAGCTGAAATGGAGCTTTGGTCATCTTATGAAGTGCAAGTGCAAAACATAGTGATGATAATGATTTCTCTCCTCCTGTTATGCACCATAAATATTATTATACAAAAAGGTTAAAAAAAACAATAGCTAAACTCTTTAGATTATCCTAATGTATAAAAAAGTGGTGATAGGAGTCATGTGGTTAACAAGTATGACTTGTAGGGAAAAAGAGTTTTATAGGACTTATAGCACCTGGTTCAATTCAAGTATGTAAATAAACATCTACAACTCACTGAACTTCCGTATACATAAAAAAACATGATGATAGCAACAAAATATACTCACTGGAACATAAACAGAAACACATGGTGTGCATGAGGAACTTAACTAGAAGAGAAACTTGTGTGTCCTTTGATTGAAGAATATTGATGAATAAAGAATAATTATCATACATTAACAGCAAAAACTAACAATCGACTTAAAAAAATAATCAAATGTTACAATACATTTCCCCAATCGGTTAAACCTTGAGTCGAGATGGAGATGGACCAATGAATTATACCTTATCGATCTTACAAATTGCAACTGATCTGATCGCCATAAACTTTTGTTTTATAATATGAATCGACTTGTTTGTATAATCAGTAGACATGAATCAGAGCTACAGTTATAGAAAATTGTGACTATAACGACGATAAGCAACCGATGGATTTAGATGTACCTAAGAAGAATCAATTTCAATCTATGGAGATGTTGATGGAGACAGAAGATCGACGATGAAGAATGTAATCGATTAATGGCGTGACGATTACTGGACACGGCCATAGATTTCAGATGGTGGCATTGGATTTCATCAAATAATCAACGATGAAGTTGTGAAAGAAAGAGGCAATCAAGGGATTAGAGAGAGAAAGTCTGAATTTGGGGGAATATCAAGGTGAGAGAGAAGGGGGTTGGTAAGGACGACGATGGTTTTAGGGGAGTAATCTGTGGGTTACCTGATATTAAGGATATAACATTTTTCTACCAAGTTTACCCTCATGACTATTTTTAATAAACCCGATATGCCACTAAACTTATTAATATTTACAATTTTGCCACTAATCATCTAAGTCATACAAATAATTGATCTAACGCTCCACTTTTAGTTCTCGGTTTCTCGGGAAACTTTGAGTTATCAAATGATCATTCATCTCTCTCTCTCTCTCTCTCTCTCTCTCTATATATATATATATATATATATATATATATATATATATATATATAATAGATTTATCAGTTTGTTAACGCCTTGGCCCCCATAATGTATTATAATAAGGATACTCTGTAATTGAAAAAATTATTTACAAAAGTAATTTTATATGAATATTAAATAATCAACAACTTGGTTATCTTCGATTATTATGCACGTAAATTAGTTCCAACAGAAGCTAGAAGTTTGTTGAAAAAAATCAAAATAATTCTAATAAAACTAGAATACTGATTTTAGGAAACTAAAACTCTATAAAAGAAAAACCAAACAACAAATTTAACATCCAAATTATTAACAAGATAAGAGAT